ATGCCAGACTGATAGTGATTATTCCATAATATAGCTGTATGCAAAAATTTAGGAAATTTAGAATTGTTTAAAATTGGTTTTATAAATTTTTTTTGTAGCTTGTACAGTGAAGCCTTTTGATTCTAAGGGTAAGATCAGTTGTAGGGGGCAAAGGCAGGGGCGGATCTAGGATTGAATTTCTGGGGGCCCTTAATGATATGGGTGGGGTAATTAGTGGGTGTGGCGAACCAGGCTTGCAGGATTTTATTTGGGAAGTCAACATTTTGAAGATTAAGCCTCATAAATGAGCTTCTTTGTGGTTTACAGATTGTTTACACAGTCAAGTACTGCAACTGTTTCACAGTTTACATAAATAAAACTAATTTTATACTTCACCAGAAAAATTTTTGGGGGCCTGGCCCCCCAGGCCCCCCCCTAGATCCACCCCTGGGCAAAGGTCATCCCCCCTTTATGTTTGCCCCTGCCATAGCTGATGTTAATTTTGAGAATGTGATGTTTTTATAGTTAATTGCCGTCAAAGTAAAACCTATTATTTGCATAATTATGTGCATCTGCCAAAAATTAAAACCCATATTTCCAGTTAAACAATAATTATAAACATACCATATAGCACAAAATTTGTGAGGGCTGTAAATTTTGTGAATTTGCCTAAAAATCTAATTGCAGATTTAATTTTTGCGAATTTATAACATCTTCCGTCTCATACCCTTAAAATTTGATTTTTTGCGAATCTTCAAAAAATTGCAAAATCTGCAAAATTTACAATCATCGAAAATTTTGCACTATATGGTATAACATTGAGAATATACACATGTACTGTACTTTGACTTTGAGAGAGTATGTGTTATTATTACTTGTATCATTTTGTTTTACAGCTGTCAGAGTTAAGTGGAGTTCCCGCTGAGTATATCTATTATTCACAGGTTAGTCATTGAAACATGTATTATTACTCTCTCTGATTCTATTAGGGAAGATCATTTCCAGTTGATATATCATGTCTTGATATTGAGGATGAGTTGTACTGGTATTCCATCACTTCAGACAGATACTCATTAAGACTATATGATGGAGGTGTCCTATATTACAAGTACTACTGAACACACACACATTATGTATACACACACACTTACATACACCTCTTACTGTTTATAATTATTTAGAGACAAAAGAGAGAGAATGAAAGAGTTAACAAATAAAGAGAGATCAGAAATACAAGAGGCAGAGGAAGCAAGGTCAGTAAACCTCATGTATCATCATGTACATATATTCTATAGTATAATTAATATAGTTTGATGTAAGTATTGGCTTGTTAATTAAACCATTTCTCTTTTATTCATTTTCACTAAACAAAATTATTGATTACAAATCTTGTGATCAACTTTCATAGAGTTTAATTACAAACTTAAGATTAATGTACTCATTTTATTGTATTCTAGGTTAATGAGGATTAAGGAAATTGAAGCACAGCATAGACGAAGATAATTGATTATGACTGAGTTTTAGGTGTCATATTATTATTGTATTGCAATCCCACCGAATTTACTCAACAACATGTTATAAGAGTTGGTTACATGCATGTACAGTAAATACACTTTATTCAATTTTGTGTAATTTTTCTAGCAATCTAATTTTTATAGAGTAGCTGTCATTCTTATATTAATTATATTACAAAAGAAATACATTAATTGTAGGAACAGTGAGTCAAAAGAGAGAGAGAGGGGGAGAGGGTAAGAGATTGAATCATTTCACTCATAAATAGATAATAATAATTAATACAAACACACAAAGACCATCATCATCAGTTCTTTCATAATTCAAACAGTTCATCCTCCACCTTCTCCCTCACTTCAGTGTCTCGAGTTGGTGACCATTTATACGTCTTGGCAAACACTTTTGAATTTATCACTGTATCAGTGTAAAAAAGAACAAAATAATAAATAAATATAATAAGTACTTGTACACGTAACTATTTATCCTGCCAACCAATGTCTTATTAGTTTTGCAGTAGTGCAGGTAATATGTAGCTGCAGATGTCCATGAGCACTACTCATCATGGACAGAGTGGTGTAATCATAGATGTAATTTACAACATTGCATTCCAGGGTTTCCCCGAATTCCAAAAATATTTTAGCCCCACCCATTTAAAAGGAAACTACAGAGATGGCCACTACTCAAACTTGTCTAGGTACATTCTTAGTTCTAAATCCACTCTTTTGATGTTTACCTACAGATATTGGTGACTTGATTGATGTCCTTGACTTATGAAGAAAT